CGTCCGGAGCCTGTGCTCCGCAACGGGAGAGGCCACAACAGTGAGAGGCCCGGGTACTGCAAAAAAAAATAAAAAAAAAAAAAAAAAGAAGTATGTCTCGTGGACCACAGTAGTGATCTCTGCTTTCTTGGGGCTTGATGATTTGGGAGCATCTTGTTCAACCTAGAGATTGAAAGGAAATATGAAAGATAAAGAAGGATGCAAATGGGTATTTCTTAATGTACCAACAAAGAGATAGCTTAGTACTAAACCCTGTGTAACTCCAAGTGCACATCATTTCGCCTTTGTTACCCATCAATTCTAGGAAAAGTTATTGTGCTTTACATTGCGAAAATACCAGCAAAGTGCACTTATGTATGAGAACCTACAGTTTGTTGAAACCAATAACCTCCTAATAAACAGCCCAGCCATCCCTTGTTTGACCAATTTGCCTTGAATGGAAAGGGCCCTGGATGTGCAGCTACTTTGGATCCCAGATGCACAGGGATTCTACTTCATTCCTGGAATCAGGCCCAAACAATCTCACTCTGTTTGAGAAGGGGCAAAGATCTGGGTCAATGTGGACCAAATATTTTTTACTAATCCCATTCCACTCTCATTATACCGTGCCCCATCTGATTTTGTATGTACTTTCTAAATGCTTAACTGTTATGAACATAGACTCTAAGCCTCTTGAAGGCAGGGAACTTGGCACATAGAAGGCTTTCAGTAAAATTTTGTGGAAGAGATGAATATGCCAATAAGTCCAGTATAGGAATTAAAAGACCTGAATTTTAGTTCTGTTTCCACTAGGTGTGTGACCATGGGAAAGTCAGTAACCTTTCTAAGCCTTAGTTTAAGTATCAGTAAGATGTAGATACCTGCCCTAGCTACTCCCCAGGATTTTTATGAGGCTCAAATGAGGCAGTGTGTATAAAATTTTTTTAAATTAATTCCTTTATCATTTAGTATCTTATTTTGTTCATGGGAGAAATTCAATCAGAGTTGCTGTTATATGCCGCCTTCTAATTCTGGACTAGACTTTTTAGTCCCCTTCAGGCCTATTTCTTTCAATGTTCAGTAGAAATGATAACGTTGATTGGATTAAAGAAATAAAAATACACTAAATGATAGAATTATACTAATTTACATGGGCTCCTCATCTAACATTAGCAGAAACAGGATTATAGAAACTATTAACCTAGACCAGAGATGACAAATAAGTTGGCATTGGATACCTAAAGCACTGTGGTAAAAAAGATTGATGCCATGCCTGGGTGGAAAGAGGGCCATGCTTGATTTTTTTTTTTAATATTTATTTATTTATTTTTGCTGTGTTGGGTCTTCGTTTCTGTGCAAGGGCTTTCTCTAGTTGCAGCAAGCGGGGGCCACTCTTCCTCGCGGTGCGCGGGCCTCTCACTATCGTGGCCTCTCTTGTTGCGGAGCACAGGCTCCAGACACGCAGGCTCAGTAGTTGTGGCTCACGGGCCTAGTTGCTCTGCGGCATGTGGGATCTTCCCAGACCAGGGCTCGAACCCGTGTCCCCTGCACTGGCAGGCAGATTCTCAACCACTGTGCCACCAGGGAAGCCCCATGCTTGATTTTTTTAAATTGAGATTTAATTTTCCTATAACATTGTGTAAGTTTAAGGTGTCCAGCGTGTTGATTTGATGCATTTGTAAATTGCAGTGTGATTACCACAGTAGCTTTAGCTAACATCCCATCACGTCACATAATTATCATTGCTTTTTTGTGGTGAGAATGTATAAGATCTAGTCTCTTAGCAGTTTTGAAGTATACAATATGGTGACTATAATCTCTGTGCTGTGCATTAGACCTCTGGAATGTATTCATCTTCTGGTTGCACTCTGCTTGATTATTATTATCATTATTATTTTTTGGCTGCATTGGGTCTTTGTTGCTGCACACGGGCTCTCTCTAGTTGCGGTGAATGGGGGCTACTCTTAGTTGCGGTGCGTGGGCTTCTCATTGTGGTGGCTTCTCTTGTGTGGAGCATGGCTCTAGGTGCATAGGCTTCAGGAGTTGCAGCACATGGGCTCAGTAGTTGTGGCTCACGGGCTCTAGAGCGCAGGCTCAGTAGTTGTGGCGCACAGGCTTAGTTGCTCTGCAGCATGTGGGATCTTCCAAGACTAGGGATTGAACCCATGTCCCCTCCATTGGCAGGCGGATTCTTAACCACTGCGCCACTAGGGAAGTCCTCTGCTTGATTATTGATATGTGCGGTTGACATGGAACTAAAGAGTTTGTCCCATCCTGGGGGACACCATTCTCAGTGCTGTAATTCTACAAAAGTGGCCACCTTCTTTAATTTAAAAAAGTATTGGAGAACTCATCTCTTTGCTTCAGTGGGTTTTTAGATGTAGAGAAGGCACCCATCACTTTCTTGTAGTCAAAGGCTGAGTCCATTCCTGGTGGGAAAACTATTTAAAGCAGCCATGCTGAGCCGGTGGTGTGGTGTCTGACTTACACACTAAAGTGCAATATGGATTTATAATCCTGCCAGGAAACCCCAAGGCAGGGAAGAAAGAAGGTGCTTTGCCAAGTATTCAGGCTGTGTTCAAGTGTGGTGGTTCCTGAACTGTGTGGTATGTCAGAGTTACCCAGGGGCAGGGATGGAGACGTAGGTTGTGGGCTCTGAAGCTCTTACAATTTCAGGGACCCTTTTTAAAGAAAAAAAATACAGATTTTAAAAATACAAAATTGGATTCAAAGCCTTTGTGCAGGTCCTGTGGGACCTGAGTTTAAACTTCATTAATTTCACAGTAAAACCACCTCTACTTAGGGAGCTTGTTAAAAATCTAAAAAAAAAAAAGAGACTTCTCTGGTGGTCCAGTGAAAAAAAATCTTAAAAATAATATTCCTGGTCCCACTCTAGCCATTCTGATTTATTATATCTGATGCCCAGAAATAGCTATTTTCAATAAGTACCCTATTGTATTATGACCCTGCAGATGTTAAGAAAACAGTAGTACAAATACCTGCCCATTTCCTGACACATAAAAGAAGTACCTACATTTGCTGCATAATTAAAGCAGCTTCCTATCTCCCAGGATTTATATATTAACCCCATTTTCTCTAGGCAAATGACAATAGCCATACAGAAACCACTTTCCTTTTTGGGCTGAGAGTCAGTCTGGGATTCAGCTACACCAGGTTGCTGGCATTCCTTTCTTTGCCTTCTCCACAACCTCTGGCATTGGCATAGCTCTCTGGCTCCTAGGCATTGACTCTGAAGGGAGAAAATGACCTGGTATTAACTTCAGGTGGCTGCTGTGCATCTGATTATCTTCCAAACCTCACATCAGGCCATTTAAAGAAAATCATCTCTCTTGTTTTTTTTGGCTGTGCCACACGGCTTACGGGATCTTAGTTCCCCAGCCAGGGATCGAACCCGGGCCTGGCAGTGAAAGCATGGAGTCCTAAGCACCGGACCTCCAAGTAATTCCTGAAAATCATCTCTTCTAAGGAAAAAGAAAATATACATTCCTATTGGCTCTATCCTCCCTAGAGAATGTACAAGTACAGCAGAGGAAAGGAACTTGCATTTAGCAAGCACCACTACGTGCCAGGAGCCTTTCCCACAGAAACTCCATTAAACTTCATAACCACCATGAGAGGCAAATATCATTAGTCCCATTTTAAAAATGAGGCAGCTGCAGTTGGAGAAGGCAAAGAACTTTCTCAAAGCCACTCAGCTAGTGAGTGTAGAGTGGCAGGTGTGTCTAGACTCCAAAGTCTGTACTTTTCTCATTATGCCAGCCTGCCTCTGGGACAGAAGGAGGTCTTTATAGATCAAGCCCAAGGACCCAGTACATCAGCAAACTTACAGGGCATGGGACTTCAAAAATGACGAACACTATAATGGCAATTCCATTGAAAAACAAGGTGACTGCAATCAGAAATTTGACCACGATGCTCCATTTCTTCCTCTTCTCTAGGGCCTCATCTGTGTCTAAAAAGAGAGAGAGGAATAGAAAAGGGAGAAAAGAGAACTTGAGAGAAGGAAAAGATTGACCTTTTGACTTGAAGGTCTCCTGGCTCACAAGATGAATAGGGGCCCAACCTGATTCAGAGACAGAGGCTGAATTTCCAGTTCAGAGTCAGGAGTGGACTAGGCATCATGGGCTCTGCTCTAACCTCCTTTGCAGTCTCTTCCCAGAGTCACCTTTACTAGGATTTGGAATTTTTCCATGATCAAGTAGGAATGATTCTTGCACTGCTTTCATGGAAAGAAAAATTTCGCAAGGGAGTCTGTCACCAGCAGCCCTCTCAGGATCTCTGTCCTTGTGCCTCCACACACATACTGTATGGGATTAGCAAATCACCTTTCCTATGCTCTTCTCAATTTAGTGGGGCATATGAGGGACAGAGGTAAATTGCCATTGTTTTTGGGTCATAAGCCAAATTTGGGGACAAATGGCTCATATGCATCTTGTTATTACTAATCTCATATTTACGTTTCTCCTGTTGGAACTGGGATGTAACCCAAACTGAAATCTTACAGAATTTGAGTCCTGGCCAATGTAGGGAGGGCTCTTTGTAAAAACAATGCAGATGAAAACATGCTTCTTGGTTGTTGTCATCACTGTAACGAGTGCTTAGAGTTTAAATGTCGCCTCTCTATTCACACGATGGCTGGACTTACCCACCACACCAATACCCTTTATGCTTTCCCCGAATCTGGCTACAAGGTGAGCTCAACTTGTGTGGAGGTGAAGGATTATTAATAGTGTCAAGCTACAAACATTTCTGGGACCTTCTTTAGAGAGAAGCTGATTTTTTTCCCATAAGAAATGGAGTGATTTTCTAATGCAAACTGTGTAACTTCTCAACCTCCAGGAAAATCCTAGGAGACCCAGGCAGGTGTTGGGACTGAAAATGTTTCTTTTTCTTTCCGTTCTTGTCTTACCTCTACTTATTCTGTACCTTGTTTCAGAGGACTAGAAAAATCATCAATCCTTGTAGTTTTCTCTCCTTTTCTCCCAGGAGTTCCGAAGGTGGTAGTGTTGGGAAAAGTCTCTGATGAAGCCCCCATCACTGGGTAGACCTTACACTGGGAGATTCCTGGTAAAAAAGCTATAAAACAAGAAAGAAACAATGAAAGGACAACTGAGAAAACTTTATCCTGCCTTTGATTTTACCTGACCAAACCCTAGCTCTACCCAGCTGATATGAACTTCTAACTGTGGCCCCATCGATCTGTCCATAGGTTTAAAGTGTGGGCCTTAATAATGCCAAAGAATAAATGAGGATAGAGATACTAATAAGATGTGCATTAAATTCCCATGGCGCCTTTGACTAATGTACGTTCAGAGTGAAGGAGTGTGGCCATACTCGTAAGGGCGTAATGATAATAAGGATGGAGGGGGTAGCACCACTGAAAGTTTCCTTCTTTAAAAAAGATGTGGCTCCAAAGTTCAAGGAAGAACATGAAGTAGCATAATCTGCCTTAGTGGCTGCAGCAGGTCTGTCTAGTGGAGTCTGAGTCAACGACTTTGAGAGAGGTTTGGGGAAAGAGGGAACTGGAAGAAGGGGAGGCCTCCCAGCTTCACGTACCCCTCAATTTCATTCTTTCAGCAAATATTTAAAAATGAATATCTAGCATGTGCCAGGGACTGCTTCCATACTTTGGATATATCAGCTGGGTACCGTCTACCATGGGAACAAGCAAGGGGGAAGGAGGGCTGAGGGGGGACTGGGGGAAGCAGACAATAAGTACAGTAGGTTTTATGGTTTGTTAGAAGGGGATAAGTGCTACGAAAAGAAACAAAGTAGGGCTTCCCTGGTGGCGCAGTGGTTGAGAGTCCGCCTGCCAATGCAGGGAACACAGGTTCATGCCCTGGTCCGGGAAGATCCCACATGCCACGGAGCGGCTGGGCCCGTGAGCCATGGCCGCTGAGCCTGCACGTCCAGAGCCTGTGCTCCGCAACAGGAGAGGTCACAACAGTGAGAAGCCTGCGTACAGCAAAAAAAAAAAAAAAAAAAAAAAAAAAAAAAAAAAAAAAGGAAAGGGGCAAGCCGGG